ATCAAATGCAAACATTTACATTAATATGTGTGTACATGGACGGGGGGGGGGGCTTTAAAATGTTTTTTTTTAAAATTAATTTTATATAACTATAATTTTTTCACTTAACTTTCTTGCTTTTACATAGGGGGCTAACAAGCACCCTATCTGAAAGAAGATTGGAGGTGACAGCCTCTCTTTAAGGAGACATTAGCAGTCTTGTAGACCCCTAATGTCCCCTTTGCACTTCTGTAAAGCTAATCAAGCATAGATCATACTTGACTAGCTTCATACCTGGCAACAGCTGCCAGGAAATGACAGCTCTAAAACCAACAGTATCAGCAAATGGAGGTAGTACTTATGTGGCAGTGCCAGTTATAGAGTTAAATTAATAACTTGATAAAAGGATGGAGAAAGTGGGCATCCCTGGCAAGTTTCATTATTGATGGGCACCCTTGTATGCTATGAACAAGGAAATGCAAAGGAAAAGAAGCTGTGGATTAGAGGACCTTCAAAAAAATGTTTAAAGGGGCCATGAAACTCAAAAACATCTAACTTGTGCAGCAAGGTTGTGTTGAATGATGGAACCATTTGGATAACCTATGCCAGACCAGAAAAAATACCAAAAACTGTGAAATATACCTCATATACTATACACGTGTATACTTACACATACAGTGAGGGGAATTTATCAAAACTGGAGCAGACAAAATCTGGAGCAGCTGTGCACGGTAGCTTCTTTCATTTTCAAATCTTAAGTGAACAAACTGAAGAGAGAAGCTGATTGGTTGCTGTGCACAGCTGCTCCAGTTTTGATAAATTCCCCCTCAGTACGTTTGAAAATTCACCCTGTTCATATTGGCAATCAAGTATGGCAACCCTTTAAAACAGTAAGTGGAGTAAAAACTGGGCCACTGTTTAATGCATTTTTACAGTTGCGAAGTTGGAGTGTACATTCTTTCAAGTAAAGTTGCTTTATTTTTACAGGCAGATCTGCTTTTGTTTTACACATCAGAACCAAATAGCCTGTGTTATGTGGAGACAGCAGATATAGATGGGTAAGGAATTGTTTAAAGTGCATGTTACCTTTTAAGTGTTTAAAGTGTTTGGATGCCAAGTCCTAACGGTGCAAAGGAGACACCAACCTATGCATCATATATATAGGACAGGGGCACCCACAATTTTTCAACTGGAGATCTACTTTTCAAATGATGAGCTCAATGAGATCTACCAACGAAAATACACCTGCATTCAGGGGCGGCAGGGGGCGTGGCGGTGCATTGAAGTCAATTGCGCCGCAGCCACGTCCCCCGCCCACAGTGCTATATCCTGCACCCGAAACCAGGCACATTAGTGCCTGCGTTCTGGTCCAGTGCGATATGCAAATTGCTGCAAGCACTATTTTTGCAGATCGCACTGGACTTGAACGCTTGCACTAATGTGCCTGCGTTCCTGGTGCGGGCAATAGCACTGTGGGTGCGGGGCGTGGCTGCGGTGCCATTGACTACAATACAACCCCACGCCCCCTCCCGCCCTTGTCACAGCAGCATGGCCGAGCGGTGAGGAGAGAGAGAGCCGCTGGCTGTCATATCCTGGCTGAGCGGCTCTCTCTCCTGCGTGTGGGGGTACACCTGCGCTCGAGGGTAGAGCCTCGCTATGGACCTGGCAGAAGGACAGGACACAGCTGATTGCGATCTACCAGTGTTCGCTTTGTGATCGACTGATAGATCGCGATCGACCTAATGGGCACCCCTGATATAGGAGATATAAACCAATAAATTACAAAAGTATGCTAAAAACATGTTTGGTAAATTTGTAATTGCATTATAATGCCATCTGAAATATTTGCAGCCATGCTTATTTAGTAGAATAAAGCATGTGATTTTTGGAAAGGGCAAACAGGTAACTTTGGGTAATGGTTTGGGTAATGGTTTAGGTAATGGTTTGGGTAATGGTTTGGGAAGAAACAAAATGCAAACCTTGTGACTATTTACATAACCTCCTATTTTCATTGGAACTCTGCATATTGTATACTTGCATGGCACTCATGAAACAAAGTGACCATCACTGTGTAAATGGCAAAAAGAATGAATTAATGAATATATAACAAATATTTGCAATGATATAAATATATTTTGTACCATCACTATTGCTTAGAAAAGAAAACTGAACAAAATGAAATGGAACAAAATTGAACAATTAAACAGCTGTTTGTAAAGGAATCAAAAAGCTTTTTATTTGGGAATATGATATAGACATAGTGGTGAATACAAATTCTGTACAATTAAGTGGAATAAACTGGGGTTGGTTTACAAAAGGCAAATAGATAGTTCACTTTGAAGCAGAATTTTAATTTTGCAGGAAATGTTTCCCCTTAGTTTAGTGAATGAGGTGAATCTCTGCTGACTTTCATCATCCAATCATGTGCAAGCAAAAATACTGTTTTCTTTGTACATAATTAGGTATTCTTTGTAAAGTGAAATTTAAGTTCAATGATTACACAATTATTTATTCATATATATGGAAAATAACTGCTATGCATTTACTGTGAAAAGTATAATGATGGAGGGGAAAGGGATTTCCAAAAGGAATTTTTATGGGTTTTTTTAAATTTTATATAAAGGGGAAAAGGGTGAAAAATATTCCACATAATAGAGTATGTCTAGTTGATAAAGCTGGCCATACACTGCTTCAACAAAAGTTGACTTTTATTGAAGGAGCCAGGCCAAAATTTGTCAACCAAACAGTGGCTGCAGTCAATCAGCTAGAGTCACTGTTCAAGTATTCTTACAGCTGCGGGTGCAAACAGCTTTTTTTCTCATTCAGCCTGCAGAGCTGAACAAGAAAACATGCCTACTGTATGGCCAGCTTGAGTAGAACTTAACACACTTGAATCAGGGTTTTGGCGATTTTGCAACATAAAGCAACCAAACACAGGTAAAAAAGGAAGGAACAACAAAAGATTTTTTTGTTGTTTTGGATAGGGTAGGGTTAAATCCATTGCATGTTTGCTGTGTGTGTATCACTGAGAAAAATTCTGTTCACTTCCTGTCCCAGAAGCAACAGGAAATTAGAGGAACTCTCTCAAAGTGAGAATAGTACCCTTCTTAGACAGTTGTCCCCGGAAAATGTGTCCCCATTTGGTCTGTGGACAACTCTACACTTTTGAATTTTCTCTAACTTCCTTTAAAGATCATTTTGGCCACCAGGACAAAGAGGGGGTAAATCTGTCCAATAGGGACATGACAGCAACAAAAAACTTAACAGAGGGTCTAACGGGTCCCCTCTCTGTCCAAAACTAAAAGCTATGGCTTTGCCTAGAGATACATTTTCAAAAAAATGTGTATATGTCATATAAATGGACTTAAGTGTAATACCTCTTATGATAAATGATGGAACTCAGCTGCGGCATTGAATACTTGCTGTTAGTTGAACTCAGGCTGCTATGGTGAATCAGACTGTGGCTGATTGCTGGCTGTGGAAGCTGAAGTGCAGTGTCTGGCTCGCATTCTTGGTGCACCAGGAGTCACAGCAGGCTGAAGTAAGCAGAAGTATTTGGAGGGTTGAGGTAGGAGGCTAATGAGACTATTCAGTGGCAGGAAGGAGAGCAGGGCTGCTCAGAACTTGCCCAGCCACCACATCCATTGCAGGAACACTGGACAAGTGAATTTTCGTGGATTAACCCTTTCGCTGCCAAGCCCTCCGGAACATTTTTCAAATCAGCTGGCCAAGCCATTTTTGCATTTTTTGCATTTTTTTCCTATTGATTTGATTTTCAACTGCTGTGTTGCTAGCGTTTGTAAAAGACCCCCCAAACCATATATTTTCTGAAAGCGCAGGCCCGGTAGAATAAAAAGATGGTGGTACTAAATTTGTAGGCCCTGCGATAATTGCGC